AAACTCTTTTCTCTGGGATATATTTTGAATCGAGTACTATCTCACAATCTCAACTAAGCAAGTTCGCTTGTAGGTTATGTAAAAGACTGTTGTGGGAAGTATTGATTGTACTGGACACATTCTAAAGTGACCACTAATCTCTCCTTATGGATGACTTTTAAAAATTTGGATTAGCCTATCGGATGCATTTTTCAACGCTAAAAAAATAAATTCTAATTTAAATCCCATTTGAAAGAAAGTTTAGAGTTGTGATGTGCATATAAAATCTAGAAAAATAATGAAAAATACAATAATTGACGCGGTAGTAGAATATCTTGTGTGGCTTAAATGAAAGTCTGGTGCTACTTTGATTTTCATCATTTTATACTCATTGATTAGCTCTTTCTTTGCTCTATCAAAATCCATAAAGAAACCTCTGCGCCTATTAGAATTGGCAGAGAAGTAGAGCTTACAATGAGAAAGAGAACAAGACAAAAAATGCGAAAAAAACCGTAGGGTTGATCTAGTTTTGAGGGTGTTGTACCTAGAAAATGGAGGATGAGGACAATATGACATATGCAGTTTTGTGAAGAAGAATTTGCTCTATCAAATGGTATATTATTCGAAAAGATTATGATAATTTATTGTGGAAATAATAACCAAATACTGACTTACCAAATTTTGTAAAAAAAAAAAAATATTTTTCAAAACGTGTTGAGGGTGCCTTCAGTGTATACTTCATAACTTTTTAGGGATAAGCTAGAATGAGCTAAAATTTTGAATTTATAGATTTCTCACTTTGCTCTTTCATTTCCAATTATAAAATATAGGGATCAAAATTTTCAAGAGTATGACCATGTTCGATGTTCTCATGGACCGTCTCTCTTAAGAAACAAATTTAACTAAAGTTTTATCCGAGGCTTCAACTTGATACCCTCCTATAAATACGAAAAGACATTTCAAAATTGAATTGAACTTGATATCTGACATGACAATGACTCCTTCTAACATTTCCTGTAGAAGAAGAAATAGAATGTCTTTTAATTGAACAATTTGTTCTGAGTCCGAGAACTTTTTGACTGTCCTATGTAATATAATCTTCTAATTGATTTTCTTTGTTCATTTTCATTAGATATAAAGTGGATATTACTCATTTAAATATTTATTTATGTACATTGATATCAAATAATTTTTTTTTTTTTATGAGAAAATTATTTATTTAAGTATTAGCTGGACAAACAACGATGAGGAAAAGATTGAAAACAAGCATTTGTATCCATTAAAGCAGGTAGATGGATATGAAATAACTATTCGAAGGTATTTGTGGAAAGTTGTTTGAGGATGATATTCCTGTTGATCATATTGGAAATTTTATTCTCAGGTGCATGTCAATTACATTTTGGTTGATATCAATCTAATTCAAGTATGACAATAAGTGATTTATTGTTGATTTGAACAAAGTTTTTGTCAATAGGAATTTAATCCAACTGAAAATTTTAATTGGATAAGATATAGAAAAAAGAAAAAAAACGGTACACTATCAACTGATACTGAACCAAATTCAAATAAGAAGATAAGAAAATTTTGCAAATGAAAATTATTTTGTTTGATTATTTAGATGCGAATAAATATACCTTATTATATTTATGTTGAAGCAAGTTATTCAGAAAAAAGAAAGTCATCTTCATGTAATAGTGAAGTAAGGGCGATTTCTCTCTCCATATACTTTCATTTACAACACTTCTACGTTTCGGTATAATTACTGTTTTTGTTTCCAGTATTTATATTTTTTCGACATTTTTACTGTCGGTGTTAGTAGGGTAAACCCTCAAAAACCAATTTTACTTGAAAACTTCGGAAAACATGCTGGAAAAAAACAAAAAAAAATCATAATCAGCATCCGGACGTCCAAATATGCCTAATCGCACTCCTCTTGTCCAGAAATGTTCGTTTTTTTACTGACTTCACCCTTCTCTCTTTGTCTAAACATCCATTTATGGATAGTACTTATGCAATTGAAATTTAAACCATCTTCTTGAAGAATAAGGTTTGATTTCCTTAAATAAATCTTACACCTTCTTTATCACATGTCGGCAAATATAAAGTTTGTAATCATATATTTCCTAATGAAATTAAAGCATAACGAATCATTTGTTGTCTGTGAATTATATAAAATTCTCTCAAATTTCTTTTGTCGAGGTTTCCATTCTTGTTTTGTCGTACGTATATTTCCAATCATAGTCCATGCATTCGGTGAATTATGATTAATTTCTAGTACATCTTTAAACCAATGAGATGCACTATAAATTTGATCACGATCATGTACCGTAGAACCCAAACGACGTACACAATCAACATATTTTAAATGTTCACGTAAAATTTCTTTATATAATGTTTCAGTTTTATTAAATTCAAATGATGCTTCGCACACATGAGCTAAATTATAACGCATTGTAATAAGAATTGAATTAGCATAAGCTGGTTCAATTTAACGAGCTTGTTCAGATAATGTAATGAATCCATATTATTAAACACTTCTATTGGAATATCTTTTTCATGAAATTCACGAATTAAATTTGATGTATAGTCATATATAAGCATCCAATGAATTTAAAGAAATAGAAAAATATTTTATATCTAACAGAGTCAATTCTCAAATTATTTTTAGAAGAATATTCTAGGAAGTCAAAATTTCATATGCAATCATTCGTATATAACACTAACATTTTCAGACATCATGCCTTTGATACAATCTAAGATCGTTATCAGACGAAATTTACTTAGCTGAAGTAAAAACTCTCATCGATTCTTATGAATATTTTGTACTTTCTTTGATAATTTAAATATGAATGACGACAATTGTCTACATATACTAACAATGGAACGGTTTGTATTGATAAGCGAGTTGGATGACCATTTTGGGTGCAAATGGTCACCATCACTGAGAAACTAACAAATCTAAAATATGAGCTGCTGATGGCTACTCTGGACAGAGATATTCAATTTTTAAGTTCTGCATTAATTGAGTATAAAACGTGTTACAATATGAAATATTCACATCAGCTTTTAATATAATCATCAGATTTGTTAGGAATTGAGTTTCGAAAATCGAAAGGAGTCTTATTAACACCATTTAGGCTACTCTATATACGATCTCTTATGAATTTTAACAGTCTAGAATTAAAAAAAAAAACAACTATTACGTTTGAATAGTGTTCATATATAAGATATGTGAAAATTAAGTGCATTAATGCATCGCTTAATAAATTCTTTTAGTGAGAAAGATATTCAGGGTCCAGCGAATGGTACATTAAAAGATATTCATGCATATGCAAAAGGTAAAATATTTTCTTAATTATTATTTTCATTATCAATGCTTACTGGTTTTTTAGAAAATACTGATCATGCCAATAGTTTTCATACTCAACAAATCTTACAATGTGAAGCTAAAACTTGGCAAGAAACATTATATAAATTTTATTTTCGTACTAATCGTCTCTATAAACAAATAAATTATTATGGTTGGCGTTTTGCTGAATTACATATTTTTAAATTAGTTCTACTTATAATGGTTCTTATATCTACACTTAAAGTAAATGAGAAATCCTTATTTTTTAAATAATAATAATATTCATGTGTTATTAGGTATGTGGATTTAATACAATATTAATTATTTTAGTAACAATTGGTTTAACATTCTTTCATCTTCGAAAATTAATAAATTTATTAACATTAAGTGCTACGGGTCTTTATATTCTTTTATCAATGTGTTATCAATTCGAAATAGTCAAACAACATATAATTGAAAAAAATTTTTTTATTAAAAATTCTTCTCATGTATAGAATAAAATTAAATGATTTTAAGTTTTTTTTTTCTATCTAGAATATCATTTAGATTGATTCAAATATGAGTTTAATACCAAATGATACGGCTAAATGGTTTGGTCTTGAATCCACACCAAATATTGATCGATTTATTGGTGTAAGAAAAAGATAATCTTGTTTAAAAAGATAAAAGAAAAAAGTTTTGGAATTTTTTTTTTTAGCTTTATATATTATTAACAATTTGTTTAACATTTGATGCAATAGAACGATATCGAAAAAAACATCGTCGTTTATTATTATCAGTTCGTTTTAATGTTCATCTTGTTGAAAATCGTTTTCCAATTTTATTTCAACCATTTGCATTAAAAACTATAAATGATGATAATACATATGAATTTGATATCGTTAATTATCAACAAGCTGATCAAGGAATTTATGATTTTTTGAAATATTTAGCAAATTTGATTTTTTATAGATTTGGTTTAGAGGTAAATCAAAAAAAAAACAAATTTATTTATATAACAAAAAAAAGATTTTATCTTTTTCTTTTTTGTTTTAGATATGTTATATAACAACAGTTATTGTTGTTGGTATTC